GTAAACACATCTTTTTTTTGCTGGATCTTACCAGTTTTTCTCTGCAAAAGAGAAACCTGAGAATTCTGAGGTTTCTTCCTATTCTTCTTTCTCAATCGCACATATGAGCTATAGGTAGACTAACAGAAATTAATTTCCCACTCTTTTTCTGAAATACCAAATATAACTACAAGTTCCTCCTAAATATCATTCCCAGATTAACAGCGTTTATCACTACTTTTGTTCAAAATCCTGCCATCTTTTCACTCATTTTGTTATTGATAATAGGTTAAACATTTTGTGTAAAAACCTGTTGCTGTATCAAGTTAAATTACTGAAATGTTAATTGCTTACTGTTCAGGAGCTTAAGTGACTCTCTGAAACCTAATTTTTCATTTAACATACTGATTTATGTGTGTTAGAACTTCACCATGGGGTATTTGAAAATTAAAATACGGTATATTAAAAAAATCAATTTAAATGCAAAATTAAGGTCTTTGATTGGAAAAGTGGAGACAAGAAGTAGTCAGAAATTAAGTATAGCAAAGGGAAGTAAAGTACATAAACTTCATATGTTTAAGTGTAGTACAATCTGACCTCAGTTGAAGAATGAAGATCTTAATACATACATGGTCTGAAAATTTCTCCAAGAAAATTAGAAAATACGTTGTAACAATTCATGGTATGACCTGGAGTAGGTACAGCTAAAATAATACTTGTTGAAACAAATTGTTAAAGACATGTTTAAACTTGTGACCAAGTTTGTGCAATAAGGAAAACAGGCAGTTAATCAAATGGCAGTCTTCTGGTAGACTCTAGGGCCAACTAATTTGCTGAGGGCATTGAGGTGTGATGCTTCCCACATCTCTCTAGGAGAACCATGGGAAAGGAGATCTCCCCTGTTCTGTGAGCAAACAGTTCTGACTTGTGAGCAAAGGTGGCATGTAACCCCCTGACGGGTTCAGATCTGGCTTCAGAGCAGGAGTAAATACACTGGTTCCTCCTGATTAATCTCCATGGGCTGTTTAGATATTTAAATCCACATCTCAAATCATACTTTTAATCCTCCTTCTGCCACTACTGTGCCATAGTAGTGCAGTTTAGTAAACTTCCTTCCTTCCTTCTGTGTAAGCCATGTAATAAACCCTTGTTACTTCCACTGTCCTTTGTACGGGCCTCTGTCCTCCCCTGCAGTTAACTTCTGTAAGCCGTTTGTTCCCTTGACAGTATTTTGGGGAGAGGTTGGGAGGAACAGGGAGTGAACCACTAGTGTGGAATGAGATTTGAGAAACAAGAATCAATAGTTAAGCTTCTGTAGGAGTAGATGTTTACCACTGCCACTCACTCTCATCTTTCTATTTTTTCTTCTCAGATGCATTTATCTTGCCTGATAATACCAGTGGCTTTCTCTGGAAGGAAAATGGGTTTCTTAGCCTTTTCTAAATAACGTAGAGTATCAGAACTTGATTAACAACTAGCAAATTTAAAGGCTTTTAAAAGAACTTATGTTTTAGCATGGTATTTACATACGCAATTCTCTAACTGCAAGTTTCAAAACAGATAAGTACACTGTGCTGATGGCAGCATGTGCTGCACATGCTTCAGAGGAAAACATCTTGAAGACTGTAGAGCTGCTTCTGTCAAGGAATGCTGACCCTAACCTTACTTGCAGGTACCAAAAAAAACATCTCTGTGAATACAGCATAAAATTTAATATTAATATACAGAGAGTTCTTTATAGACATAGCTGTTGTTGGTTAAGATGGCATGTACTTTATTTAAACTTCTTCTGTAACCTAGCTGCTGTCTGAAAAAAGAAAGATTATTGTCTTGAATATTGTTTCTCCTAGCACAGTCATTCATCTGAGTAAATAAGACTATCACCAGTTTTATCAAATTTCAGTATGTTCCTCAGTGAACAAGATAATGAATTTAAGATAAAAAATAATCTTTATACTTCAGTTGACTGCAGTATAAGGGCAAGAAACATGTCCTCTGCCTTTCACAAATCATACTGCCTCTTCTGTATAAGTATGTCAGTTAAACCAGTTAATTCTTTACTTAAATTCATATTCTCCTTTTGATTTTTTTGTGGGTATCTAGCTATATTCCTTTCACAGACAGCCTCCTATAGAAAAAGAAAACTTCTGGAATAATCCAGATTAAAAGGCGATTTAATCTTAAAAACAAGTAACAGGTTGTTCCTTGAATTACCACATTGTGCCTTAGCAGTTTGAAACAGTGCATTGTGATGTCTTAGTTGCATAGTCTGGTGCAGTTTCATTTCACATAAAAAAAAATTGTGGGCTGACTCAGGAGAAGCTGTTTTCCCCCTGCTGGCATCAAAAGGTATTGTTTGGGTCAAGTTGAAACTACTTATTTTTCAGCTACTTTAAATTTCTTTTTTATACCATAGCTCTTTCACCACATTACCTCAGATTTGTAGACTGTGTAGCCCTCTAAAAAGGACAGAACTGGAAGCCTGTTGGTTCTCATTAGTAGAATTCAGTTACTCTGGGCCATGAACCTTTCTGTGAGCATAGTACTCATAGAAAGGAGGAGATACAGTTGTGCTGAAGTGCCACTGGTGTCTGGTACCAAATTTAAATGCAGTTCAGTCTAATAAAAGGGACTAAAAATTGGTCATGAAAGAGAAAATCACAGACTCTGAAATAATTACATACGGTTGCCATTGGATAGCTGGATATTGGGCTAAATCGTGCTTTAAAAAATATAATTATTAATTTTTTTTGCATTGTTAAGCTTTGTCCTGGGTGTTTGACAATGTGTGCCAGGGTGCAAAGCTGTTTGTAAAGACCTTTTTTTTTGGGGGGGGGGGGAAGTTTGGAATCTGGCACAAGAGAAGGGAATTTTAAGGGCAAAACTTCATAAATAAACTTAGAGTATGTTATGCATAGTTGGTCTTTAGATACAAATATTTATTTGCTATCTCTTTGTTTCCTAAGACCTTGTGCTAACATGAGTTAATGCTTCCCTTCATCAGATACAATGTCCAGTTGTTTGGTTTTTTTTTCACGTTAGCAGTAGTAGCATTTCTCAAATGCAAGGATAAGTAATGCGACAATCAGAAATGTCATATTTGTACCAAACAAAACCAGAAGTTAGATGACAAGATCTGTTTTTTTTGTTTGTTTTTTTTTTGTTTGTTTGTTTTTGTTTTTTTTTTTTTTTTAAATCTTTGTGCTGCCCTTATCCCTTGCCAGTATTTGACATCTGTGCCTACCACTCCGTCATTAGAAGTGCTCAGGCAGCAGCTGCTGCTTCTTGTCGGCGTCTTCCAGTGTTTTCTGAAACCGGGATGAAAGGCATCAAACTGGGTTCTGTGGAGATAAGGGATCCAAACAGACCCTCTGTGGCACTGCGGTCTGTTTCCCTTGTTTCATTACAGCAAGTAGGATGTTATGTAAGAGGCCATCAGAACTGACAGTGAGTTGAAATTATTGTGTGAGTACTTCTTGTGTGATCGGATTACCACAGGTGTTAAGAACAAAGGTTCACATTATTTGGCTGTTGCAGCATTTAAGGACTAGAATGATCTGAGGAAGCTTCTCTTTTGTCCAACAACAGCTGAAGTGTGTGAATGCAAAGCAGAATACTTAACTTCTGTGTAAGGTAGAGTTTAGTATTTATTCTTCATTTCATTTCATGTCATTAGGAGGTGATACATGGAAACTTGCAAATTTGTTGTCTAATTCATGAAGTGTACTTGAAGTGGGGAAGGAATAGTAAGAAACTGATTTTTGCAATGCAGCCTTAAGAAAGAAGATGAGTTCAGGAGTGGGAAGTTAGATGGTTTCTTTGCAGTAGGATAGAGTACTGAGGAAGGAGTATTCAGTAAAGTAACTTAGGATATTTTTGCTAAATCAAAATTTGGAACTGAATACTGATGGCTGTAAAAACAGCTTTGTTGATGAGAATGTGGTGCATCAAAGTGTTAAGTGCTAACTGAAGAGTTCTGAAAGACAAGAAGTGAGGTAGTGGCTGGGTGAAACAAGACAGCGTTGTAAGGCGTGCTCTGTATAGCCTGTGCAGAGCTGCTATAGCCTGAATGCTATCTTCAAAAATTTGTTACCTTGTATCATTCAGCTCAGTCTTGCTTCAAAATGTAAATTATACATTTTATCCTTTTGTAAGGCCTGGAAATATTTAAGCAGTCTTTTTTAAAAACAGCTTTTAATCTGCAGTGCTTTCTTAAAGGTATACTGGTTTTATTTTAGACAGAATGAAAAGGCATGACCAACTGATAACTAATTACTGCAGCTAGGATGACATGTCACAGGTTGTTTAGCAAATATGATTTTAGTGAGGGCATCCACCAAGCTCTTGTTTACATAGAGTGAAAGAAACCTAATGGTTTTGTGGCTGAAGAGAACATTTTGTATTGATGTTTCATGATAATAGCCCTTCGTTAGCAGAAGGTTCAAATAGGTGAATAACTGAAACCTACTTTATTTTGACCTAAGCTTTTTGTCTCTTGTTCTGTATGAGACATGTGGAGGTTTGAATTTTGTTTGTGGGTCTTTTTTTCCCCTCATTCCTCAGATTTCTGACACACTGGAGTCCTGGTCAGTGACCAAGCCTATCTTCCATGTTTCTGCTCTAAAATGATTTTGAATTTTTTGTACGTTTAAAGAAAAGTCTTCAGAAAGACTTTGATTATTTTTTTCCCATTCTTTAGGGTAAGTATTATAAGAACAAGACCTTTGTATGTCTTTTGTCACTGTACAGATTAAAAGTTGAGCTTGGCGCATACTGTCATGTACCTGAATGCATATGCATGAAAACACAGTCACTGCTCAGGTCTGGTATTAAGTTGCCAACACACATACACTTATTCTTATGCTCAGAGTAGTTTTGAGATGTGTCAAAAGTGGTTTCGTGATGAAAGTTTTGGTCTGTTTGTCCTCTTGAGAAGATGATAATGAAAGGGGGCAATTTTCATCACAATATTGCCCATTTCACAAGGTAAGTCTTCAGGTTGTGTAGTCAAAATAAAAATTGCATAACACCTCAGTTTTAGCAAGATATGTATTGCTACTGATAAGATAGTAAGTCTGTGCTGCCACATAATAATATCAAAGACCTTGACAATAATTTTGTGGTAGTTAACACAAATGCCAAATGACAAACAGTACATTTCAGTAAAGGTAAACAGCCTGGGAAAAGTTAATGCACTACAGTGCATTCTATTGCTGGGGCAAGAAAACAGGGGAATTCACAACTGATTGAGTCAAGATCTCTGATCCACCTTGGAGCAAAAAAGTTCTCTTGATGTCACGCTCTGTTACACTTCATGCTTTTCAGAGAGGTGATTTTTGTATTCTGGCACTATGAACTCAGGACGGAAACACTTTATTATTTACGTCAGTCAAACATTAGGACAGAGGGACTAAATATAAAAAATCAGATGCAAAATTACATTTACCAAAGTACTGTGTTCATCTGGGCTATGTCCATATGTCTCTTTGCTCCTGTTATCCAAGTTAGCGATAAGTAAAAAGGATGGTAAACGTGTGAGCCCTATGAGTTTGGAAGAGTAGCTTTTGAACTCGTGTTGGGGCTTGTTAATCAGATCTTTTGGTAGGGAGAAGGAGTCTAGACACCAAAATAAATGATTGTACTTCTCCCCCTAGTATTGACTGTACAGCGGTACCAGCAGGCTTGCTGCTGTTGGATCAGAGATTTTGGGCAGAGATATAAAATCCTTGTGGACAGGAGCAACATTAGGTGCTATTTTTAACAGAGGCATTCTAACAATGTGCTGTGGTGTCTTGGAATGTCACCTGAGCAGCCTTTATGTAAAACAGAACCAAAACCTGCACTGAAAGTCCTTAGCATTATATCAGCAGTATTTTATCTCAAGTGTATTAAACTTCCTATCGTTGCCACTAGCTTACCCTGATTGTAGGTTATTTGCATGGAATGGGTTTGGGTTTTTTTGATTGCCCTTTCATTAGAAAGGTGGATCTGGTTTCACCAGCACATGCTGAACTTGTTCACTGCAGACATTACTGCCGTTTTGAAAGTAAAGTTGGAAACAGTCTGAGAATTTTCTCATTATGGAGATAACTCATTTGTTTTTCTACTTTGTCATATTGTGCATGTTTTTAGCTAAATCAGCTTGCTTGTAAAAATGTGATAGAGTAAGGATGTAGGAGGACAATGCAGGATAATTGGGAATGTCATAACATAGAGTTCTGCCATCCTCATTGCTAATTTTTATGTTAATCTCTTTATATAATCACATCCTTTGTATTTTTCTAGTCATATAAAGGTAACTACGCACCTCTCTGCTTCCCTACCTCTTGTGTGCTGCAGAACTTACACAGATGCCTTTTTTTAAATTTTAAAACAATCATGTAAAGAGAGTTCAGAAGCAGGATGGCACCAGAACTGGTGGTCTGAAATTAAGCCTAAAACGAAACTGTATTTTTTTCTAGCCCAGCCTTCTAACTACCGTTCTGTGTTGCATTCTCCTAACAACTTCCGCTTCAAGAAGGTGGAGGACTCTCCCACCTTTCTCCAGCAGATGGTGCTTGGGAAAAGTATTTTGCAGCTCACGGTACACTAAAGGATGTTCTTCCAATACCTCTTGTTATGTAGTGTTTCCCACCTCATCGCTTAACAACTCAGTAAGACAGAAAATGGGCAAATAGCTTTCCTTCTAGTTGCTGTGAACCCACTGTTACTGCTTCATTTCTCAGTTGCAGACTTAATGTATAGCACTGGGATGGTGAAACTGGCTCCAGAACCTTCTGCAGATGCCCCCTGATTATCTGAACCAGGGTTCAGTTTGCAGATGAATAGATTAAAATATTTGTATCTTGTTAGCATCATTTCCTTGCTTTGGGATCTCAGTAAGAAAAGATTGAGGTGGAAGGTTAAATTGTTTTCTATCATCTACATTTTTTTTCTAATGTTTTGTTATACTGGTCTAGTTAATAAACATATGTCCAGTCATGAGACTTCACATACAGCGTATACTTCTCAATATCACCAGTCTGAAATATGGAATGTTCTATAGGTAGTTCTACAATGGAAGGAAACCTGTGTCTAGATGGAAGACAACTTCTCCTCTCCTCTGTCTTAAGAAACTTTCTAGGAAGATAAAATTCGTTGTGCTTGAGAGCATGGTCCTGAACCCAGAATGTGTTCTGCAATGGAAGGAAACCTGTGTCTAGATGGAAGACAACTTCTCCTCTCCTCTGTCTTATGAAACTTTCTAGGAAGATAAAATTCGTTGTGCTTGAGAGCATGGTCCTGAACCCAGAATGTGTCTTTGTCAGGTGTAGTGAATTCGTGTTCTGATTCAGCTCAGTGGGGACAAATACTGGGGACATTTTTCCATGAAATAGCTGGCTAGCACTCTTATCACCTGGTTTTAACATTGCTCAGGGGCATTCAGGGTAGGAGGCCCCAAAAGCCTCTTAGAGCTGTTCCACTCAGCTTGCTTTCTTGTGGTTATGTTTTGCCCCATTTTTTTTTTTTGACAGGATGAAGATGAAGTGAGCCTATAAACCTCTGTTTGTATCTTTGTGTAGATGTCAAATACAAAGTTTTGGATGGCCCTGAAAACTGAAAAACGTTCTTTTATGTTACAACTGGAAAAAAAAGGCAAAACCAGTAGAGAGACCTAAAGATAAAAACAAATCCCCCTTCATCTGCATGAGATCAATGAAGAATTCCTTGCTTTTTATTTAGGCACTGCATAGCTGGAAACAAATACAGCTGGCAGAGACATCATGCTTAATTAATAAATGGCTTATATGCCTTTTAAGTTTTTATTTATTTACTGACTATGACTTGAGTATCATGTTCAATATGGGCAAATGTCATTTGGCAGATTGTGACATACAAAAGGGCTTCACAGCTGTTTGGACAACAAAGTGACCTGCAAGCCAGACTGCTGAAACTTGAATGTCTGCACGGTCCCTCAAAATGACAAAAAGATCCTTCAGATCTTTTATCTGGATGGTTACCGCTACACCTTCTATGTACATCTCAGACTGCTGTAAGATGTGGCAATACCTCAAATTTCTCTTCGGCTTTAGCAAGAAACAGTGGGTTTGGCATCTTGAAGCTTGCTGTAGTGTTTGTGGGGGTTCTTCACAGGATTAGGAAAATAAGATTGTTTTCCCTAATGTTCTAGTCTCCCTCTTGTGGACTTAACCTGTAAGTGGACCTTGCTTTCTGAGGAGGTGGCTGTGCACTGTCTGTCCAAGACATTAAACGGTACCCCCTCATATATAGTGGTGTGTAAATAAATGGAATTCAAAATTTATGCAGAACTATTAATTAAACTGGAACATTAAAACTGATTCCTTGAAGTACTAATTGCATATTCATATTGGTGGATCTTTTAATTGTCATAGCTGTTATGTAAAAATTGAGAAACATTTTCAGTGGCTTTAATGTCATTGAGTTGTTGCCTTGATTTCAGATGTCATGTCTGCAGTACTGTACAACTGAAAGCACTGCCTGGTGTTCTGTGGAGAAAAGAGCTTTGTAGCCTCTGGATTTTTGTTCAGTGTTTTTCCTTTGAAAAAAGAGAAGGAAGTTGTGAGGTATTAGCAGTGTGCAAATTCCAGAAACAACAAGAAGAAAAGTTGAGAGCAGAAGAAATGCAAATAAAAATTAAAACAGACACAAATGGATTGGTTTTGCAGTCAGACGTAAATATTTCAAAGGTGGTAGCATGGAAAGCCTGTCAAAGGCTGCCTGCCACTGAACAGAAATCAGTACGGGAGCGAGTGTCCACATTGGGCAAGCAAGTTTGGTTTTATTGCTGCAGATTGTAATCAACTTCTGTTCATTCTTTAAAATGTAGTACCTCTAGATACCTGTGTATGTCTATACATAGATATAAGTATCTCACTGCTTCATCAGTGAGGTATGCTACAGGGGCAGATTGTAATCTTCTATATTTTTGTAGTAATCTTCATAAGATCACAGGGTGATTCAGGTCAGAAGGGACCTGAGGAGGTCTCTGTTCCAACTTCCTCCTTAAAGACCGCTGTGCTATGACACTGAGCTAGGTCTGGTCTTGAAACCCACCAAAGATGGAGACTACAAAACTTCTCTGAGCCATCAGTTCCACTGATTGATTGATTGTCCCCCATGGTAAAAATGTTTCCTTGTATTCAATCAGAATTTCTGCTTTTGCAGTGCTGATGGACTAAGTTGAATTAGTTATAGGCTGATACAAATCTGTAATTTCATTACCAAGTTCCTTTCTCTTGTCTCGTGACACTGGTCATGACTCTTCCAAATTTGTAATATGAGCGGATATTTTTTCAGTGCACTTTTAACTGGATTTGCGTGAAACAAAATATTATCATATATTATATACTATAAAATACGTTTTAATATATAATTATCATTATATATTTAATTATACTTAAAATCTAAATCTAATTATAATTAAAATATATAATTATATTTTAATAAATTTTTTGTGTGTGAATGAGCAGTGACAAGAAAAGAAGAGCAAAGCCTTAGTTCTAGCAGTAACTCTGGAAGGAGACAGAAATCCATATTTTAAGACAACTGTTTTGGTATACATGTGCTTTTTGGGGTCCCTCTGGTGGTCAATTATTTATTATTCAGAAATCTCTTTTTTAAAATCTTACTGTAGGAAAGAGCAATCCTACCATGAAGTATATCCTAACAAGATGAAGTATTCTTTTGACAGCAGATTTTTAACACAGAGCTGTAGATTGAAAGCAAAAAAAAAATACTGCTTTTTAAGATACAATGAATTTTAATTGAACATCACTAGTAAAATATTTTAGCTTAAATATGATTTCTTAATGACTAGAAATGCCACATTTTTCTTCTCTAATACTACAGGTTGGGTTGTTTATTTTTTTTTTTAATTCTGCAGTCTTATTAAACCAAATAAAAAGCATCAGGTATCTGGAAAGATACCTTTCTAACAATCTTTTGGACAACATTTTATTTATTTGCAAATAATCAGCCATTCACAATAGCTTTATCTTATGAACATCTCAATAGAATCATAAGATTAATAGACTGTTGTCACTATGCTTTTGGGATAGTAAAAAAGGAAAGAATAAGGGGAACAGTGTTGTCTGTAAGTACTTTTTCAGTAATTGTAAAAAGTAGTAATATAGGTAGAAGAGAAAGCATCGACACATAGGTCTCTGGGAGCAGAAAAAAAAAATATAAAGGACAAAAACATTTTGATGTGCATTTAATTTTAGTACTTGACAAGTTTAGATTTTCAGTACAGTATTTGTATGTCATTCTCTGAAGGCTCCACTCGGGGCTAGTCAGTGTGGGAGGCTGATAGTACGTGTGCACGCTGAGCTATTGCACTGCACCTGTGCACACCAGCAAGAGTGGGGTGACCTGTATTTGTTTTGCTTATGTTGTTTTTACCAGAGAGGGGTTTGCAAATATGTACATAGTTGTTCTTAATATTCTTCCTCTTACATGCTCAGTTGTGATTTACAACTTGACCTCCACAACTATGGATTTAAATTGAACTGTAGAATTCATCACTTATGTTGTGTCTTTTAAAAACGGTTTCCGAAGTAAAAAGTGAAAGTCTGCCACTTTTTGTTTCTTAGTTGAGGGAAAAAGTAATTTTCTGATATTCTCTGCTTTTGGTAGGGTGAAAACAGTCATCTGCAGTTATGTCCGTTCCCTTCTCCTGAACCTGGTCTCTGTGCTCCATGGGTCTGCCTGCTGCTGCATCTGCAGCAGGAGGGATGGGCTTTAAAAACTGGTTTGATGTCGTTCAAAACCAAACTGGAAGTGGTTTAGTCACTAAGCTACTGTGCTTCATAGCTGGAGCATGTTAAGATTATTTGTGTATCAATGCACTACTTGAATTTGGAGGTGATAAAACTTTTTTTTTTTAACATTTACTCCTACAAGTACTCTATGTCTCTATTCCAAAGTCTTGGAAGACACTTGTTTGGTTTCTTCTGTTTCCTTCTTGTGGAGGACAACTGACTTCGTGACTTAATGTCAATCAGAACATAAGTGTGAACTCCTAATGTATTTAAAAGTTGCTAACTGGACTGATGCTAACTGGGCTGCTAAATTTGATTTGCTGCATCTGTATGTTCTGCCAAGGCAACTCTTGTGCTGAAGCGTGAATGTGGTGTCTTGGGATTTCATACTCTACTTAGTTCTTCTACAAAACAGAGAATCTTTACAGAGTTGAGGTGCTCTACTTGATAATGCAGTTGGATTTTGAATTCTTGAAATCCTTTTTCACCTGTCCCCTTTTCTTTCAGGAGACAAATGACTCCACTGATGTATGCAGCTAGAAAAGGCTGTCCTCAGGTTGTTGCTCTTCTTGTTGCTCACGGATCACCCATAAATGCCCAAGATGAAAATGGATATTCAGTAAGTGATTTACTTGTCTGCTGTAATGTTAAAAATTTCAAAAAGCAAGAACCCACAAACTTGTTTTAAAGTATAGCTTTCTTAGAAGTACTCATTGGTATATTCTTCTCCTTTATCAGCATTTTGAACTTCTTTTGCATTAATTCTCTCCAGATTCTATCACATAAGAACTTAGAGACTGCATTATTGATTAAATTTTTGTTCTTGTTTGCTCTATATGTAAACTTGGTAAAACTAAATTGTTCTTTGCAGGCATTAATATGGGCAGCACAGCATGGACATAAAAGTGTAATTTTGAAGTTGCTTGAGTTGGGAGCTGACAAAAATTTGCAGACAAAGGATAAGAAAACAGCAGCAGAGCTAGCAAAAATCAATAAACATTCAGAGGTATTTAATTTAATTTCTCTTTGAAATGCAAATTCTGTATTGTGCCTTGAAGACACTGCCAAAGTGTATGAGAGAATGCAGATGTCAATTTAATTTGCAGTGTGTAGTTCCTGATTGAATTTGGAAGTGAGAAGGCTAAAAAGAGGAGGAGTTGATACCGGCCATCTTCAAAATCCAGCCTTGGGAGGAAACAAGGTGTAAAATAATGTAAATTGATCATCAAATTATTAGAAGAGCATCCACTAATTATCAGTGTAGAGAGAGACAGAGAGAGGCATTGAAGACAACATAGTCTCCTAAATTAGACGTTTACTGCTGTTACCAGGTGATGCATGGTGGGTCAATCAGACCAGATTTCTCTGTATTTTGCTTTGAGTTGCTCTTACCAGTGGTGTGGCTTTTTGCAGTGGCTCTTCAGATAAATACAATTCATTCTAGTGATTTGTGATTCACTTTACAGCTTTTTCCTCTTCTGCTTTTTTTGTGTTGCCAGACTCCAGGGCTAGGCAGGAGCAAAAATGATAACTATGCACAAAGCTATCAGTGTAGGCTAGCAAGATCTGTGTCTGAGGCTCAGTGAGCTGCTAGCTCAGGTTACTGAAAGCACCTACAAATGCTTTTTGCCTTTGACAAATGACTTGTTCAGCAGACTGTGGTCATATAATCTTATAACACGACTTTCTCTGACATGGAGGGCATACAGGCTCCTCACACTTGAGAAGTAGGTCTTGGCTCTTGACCTGTGGAGCACTGATTTTCACACAGTTACTGCAAAATCTTCTAGGTGGTATTGAGATATTTAATGGTCATGAGCTTCTTCCAACTTGGGAGTCTGCTATTCAGGCTGTTGGCAACCCAGGAGGCTGTCACACAGACTGTATCAGCAGAAACTGTGTCTGGGAGCAGAGATAGTTTTCTTACATATCGTCCTACCTTTGGCTGGGAAGGAGTTACTTTTCTTCCTACCAGCCTGTGTGGTGCTGTGGTTTAGGTGTGTGACCAAAACAGTGTTGATAACACACCGATGTTGGAGCTGTTCCTGAGCAGTGCTTGTGCAGCATCAGGGCCTTCTCTGTTTCTCACTCTGCCTGCCATCTCCAGCAAGGAGGCTGGGAGTGAGCAAGAGCTTGGGAGGGGGCACAGCCAAGGCAGCTGACCCAAGGGATGCTCCACACCATACAAAGTCTCACAAAGGAATAAAATTGCTGGGGGTTGGTTTTCTGAAGTAGCCATTGCTTGAAGACTGGCTGGGCATTGGTCTGCTGGTGGGAGGTGGTGAGTGACTGCCTTTGCACCACTTAGATTTGGGGTTTTTTTTCCCTTATTGAAGTGTGTGTAGCTCAACTCTTTTTTCTCACTTTTACTTTTTTTTTTTTTTTTTTCCCCCCCACCCTGCGGCCAAAAAAGGAGTGAGGGACTGGATCAGGGGTTGCCACATGTGGTATGTGTATACATCCATATGTACATAAAACTGGCTAGTCACCCCAGTTTCAATAAAGTGGATTCACTATTCTTTTAAGTTTATTGAAATTCTCTTTTGTTTTGCTGGATTTTCTAGTAACTATCTTAAACCTCACACAGGGGCAATTCAGTTTCTGGAATTTGTCAGTGATGCTTAGTGATGTCTGGCAGAAAGCTTGCTGCTTTAATCAGTTGAAAGAATCCCTCTCTGTCAGATATAGTTAACTTAGATTGTCAGCTGTGAATGTTGGGTTCATATATGCACTGAAAATGCAGACATAAAAATGATTATATGCCTTGTGCTCTTAATAAGAGAACTTACTGAGTTGACTATGTAGAGCTCTTCTACACGCCACAAAAATTAGTATGTTGGTGTATTGCTGCTTCTGTAGCGACAGATGCTAACTTTTTCAAACTATATTATGTACTATTTTGCTTTGCATCAGTTCATTGTTGTGCTGGAATTTGGTTAATTCAGAAATGCCCTTGATAAACTGTCTGGGCTTCGTCTTAACTCCTCGTTGTAGTTACATGTTCTAGAGAAGTGGCAGACGTTTCATGTTCCCTAAAAGTAGCAATTTGTGGTAGAACTCCTTGTAGTCTTCCTCCTTTGTACTTCCTTACACATTTTGAGTTTTAATAGTGATTAATTCATTTTGGCTCTTCCAGATTTATAGTTTACTCTCTTTGGCTGCAAATCGCGTGCAAGGGAGATACCATGAAACAGTTAAGCAAGAGGCTATCTACAAATTTCTGACAGCTGCCCCTGACCACAGAGCTGGGTAAATAGTCATGGTGTAATTATAGCTCATAAACATTCCTGAGAGATTGTATTTGTTCGTATCAATGATTAATTGATTAATTATTGGTATTGGTATATGTTGTGCATTATTTGGAGTGAAACCAAGAGTCCACAGTAAGAATATTAATGTAGTATTAATTTTTCAGGATTGCAAGTTCCTCTGCATTATGAACAAAGAGCATGGTCTGGATCTTTCCTTCCTTTCACTTTGTGTAAAATATAGTAGAGCCAGGGCCCAATGTCACTTCAGTTCAATGTTAAATTTGCATGCTCCCCTGTTGGATGTTCCTTGTTGTGTGGTTATCTTCATTTGATGCTAAATTTTTGATGCTTTCACTGAATGCCTTTTTTTTAGTTTTAGACCACCAAGAAGAACTATGCTCTCTTTTTTTTTCTGCATATATGAGAGTCAAAATTAAGTATGAACACCAAATAAGCGTTAGAACTTATTTCATAGCGTGCCCCTGACCCTGAAGCTCTTAGGTGTCCTAGGACTGAGATCAGCCACTGCTTCAGCAGCTTCAAAGATCTCTGATTCGATTTTGTCCTGGAATATGTTGGCTAAGAAGTCTTCAAAAAAAAAAATGCACTTGCTTCCTTGAACTGGGGCTGCATGGTCTCCAGAAGACAACTTCCGTTGCCCATAGTCTGTTCCGGTTAGTCAGATTGATTCTTTGTCCCTGCTTGCCCGGATGATGCTGAAAGTGAAATGCCCTAGTTTGTATCATCAGGCTGGTGGCAGGTTACTAGGTAGCTCACCAGTGTCTATTGCTAGATGAATGTGTACGTCGATCAGATTTTTATTCTCTGGTGCTTCAACCACAGTCATCTCAGAGGTACTTCTTGGAGCAGAGAGGTGAAAGCTTTGCATGGTAAAATCCATTTATGCTGTCCTAGTTGTTCTTGCATCATACTACTCCCACATTCTTGAAGGCATTGTTCTGGGTATATCCCCTCCCATCCATATATGAAGCACGTGTCCTGTGGGATCTGTCTTCTCCATGAGGAACATCTTTTGAGTCTCTGTATACTTGCCATGAAGATGACATTCTTTTAAATAGATGGTCTCCTAGTACTCTTCACTCATAGTCCTAGATAGAATCTGTACTTAGTGCCCTCAGTGTTAAAACAGATTTTGATTTTTTTTTTTAATACATTTAGGTTATTTAGGAAGTTTGCTGGGCTTTTTCTGGTGTAAGGAAATAAACTAACACTGCAACAGTTATCTAATTTCTAATGATCTAATTCACCATATTTAGTGCTGTTGAAACCTTGTGGTGGTTAGAGGACGTTCTACAAGCATTTAAGTAGTCTTGATAAGCTTGCAAAATAAGACACTGAAATCCTGAAACCCACTTAAAACACTTCATAGCAGCCAGATGTCTTGCTATGCAAACGTAATTCTGTATTAGGCAATTCTTGGGCTTCCAGGATTTCACAATGCTTCAGTATTCTTCTAAAGTCTGCTGGTTTTCTCTGCATCAGGTGAGGAACCAATTTGTTCATATGAACAGACATTTCTGTCAAGCTTGAGGAGTTCTGTATTCTCACTGGCTAGTTCTGATGTTTCATAACTTTGGGCATTTCTGGTAATTAGTAGAGCTCATGGTTTCAGGAAGCAATCCCCTGGAGTATACCAGATGCCTGACTGTTAAATGTCTGTTCTTACAAATACAGCTTATCCATTTCCACACACACCCCCTAGTGAGTTGGTTCTTTTCATCTATTGATAGTCAGGGGGCAGACTGACACCTGTGTTTACTCCATCATAGTTCCTTAACTGAATGTCTCCTTCCTGTCTTCTGCCTGTTGTCTTCAGAAGTCCCTGTTCTCTCAGTTGCTCCTAATGCATCATCTGCTACAGGATCATCAGTTTTGCCCTACCACGCAGTGTCAGTGCTTCTAACTTGTCGTTCTTGCTGTTGTCATCCTTTTGCCATCCTTAGGTAGTGAGTGTATCTTTAGTCCTTGCTGTCTGCTGTTAGACAATTGCCCTGTCTCCAAAGCCTTGGAGTATACAAGGAAATGCACATACCTGTCAGGAATTTTTCAGCTCCTGGATTAGGTCCTTTTCTGGCTCAGGGGCTTTCAGGTTATTGTCTGGATGCTGAATAGCTCTTTCTTTAATCATGGGGGAAAAGTGTCTTTTCCTTGCACCTTTAGCAGAACTAAAAGTCTTGAATTACCAAAGGGCTCCCGAAACCTTTGTAAACTGGGCACTTAGAATGCCTAAATAACAACATTTTACCACTGCAGTTTATTCACACACTGTCTTCTCTTGCCAGTTAGAGGGCATGGGCTGTGCATACAAGGTTTGGATGTGTATGTGAAGTGCTTACTTCAGAGCAGGGCTGTTCCTGTCTGTGTTGAGGGCAAGGAACTGGGCATAGGATAGCACAATTCTACACAAGTTCATGGCAGGGATGATGATTTAAACTCTATTAAAATTATTTTAAACTCTTCTATATTTCACCTGCTGACAGAAGGCATGCTCACAGAGTTACTGACTTGATTTAAAGGAACCAGAAGGGTAACAGTTGTGGACTGAATCCAATTTGTATGAACATTACCTGATAAGAACACATAATTATCTTCCTTAACCCCACTTGCAAATTTTTCAGGCTTTTCCAACTCAACTTTAAGGTTCACAGGTTCACTTGGAACACTTTTACTTAAAATGACATTGATTTATTAAAAACATTCCCTTTAGGCTCAATTCAATTCACTAGACAGAAAAGCCATTTATAAAAAGTTGATAGGTTAAATTGTACCCCATGATGCTTATGAGATACTACTGTCATCAGTAGGTATGTACAACTTGAGGTTGCTCCCCTGTGCTTTGTCTGGGGAGCTTTCCTACAGTATTTTGTTCTGGATGTCTTTTTTTTTTTTATTTTATTTCAGCTGTTTTCATCTTGAATCTCATCAATTTTATTTACAGTTCCTATTCAGCTTTTGATGACATGGAAGTATTTTTACATGGTCTTGGTCTAGAACACATAATAGAATTGTTGAAGGTAAGTTTCTGGTGTATCTGATACCTGTAAAGTAATCCTTGAAAATAAAAGCACCTAGAGCATAGAAAGTTCTATCACTATATTAATTCAAATAAATTTATTAAATTAATTCAAATAAAGTTATTATTAAACAGAACATTATATATAAAGTGTTACGTTAAACTGTGGTGGACTGGATTGGATTGTATAAATTTGACTATGTGCATTAGTCACAGTTTGATGTTTCTAAACTAGAGGACTCTTTCCTTGCTTTGAAACAGCTACACAACACTGTTATCTGTTTCTGAAAAGCTGAAGTAAAACATAAGTAATAAAAAATTTAGTGAAAATTGTTATTTTCTTCTGAAATTATTTTTGATGGCAGAAACCTCTTTGTTTTATACAGGAAAAAGATATAGCTTTGAGACAACTTCTGAGCATGCAAAAAGACGAGTTAATACAGGTCAGTTTACTGCTTTAGAACCGAAACTGTTTTCTCTTCTTAAAAGTTTTTAATGTCTTAACTTTTCTTTATAGATGTCTAACCTTGTAAGAATCCTTTTTTTTTTTTTTTAAGATCTGTTTTCAGAATCTCCTGCAAGTTCTGGAATTTTAAGGTGAATATAGACAGACCTTTTCTAAAGTCCTACCTTTTCTATAGTCCCAGAGATGAGCCTTGAATTCTGTCAGTCATATTCTTGCATCTTCTCTGCCTGGTTTTGACTATGAAGTGGAATCCCCAGTATTTCTTTTCTGTGACGATGGGGGAGTTGGGCCTCCCTTAAAAAGGGATCCTTAGAGGATCCTCATCTCATTAAAAAGGAGGTGGTTTCTTTTTTAAATTTTAGTTGTTACTATTTTCAGTATTGAAATATGTATTCCCTGGAAGGAAATCAGTGCTAGGATTAGCAGTAGATAATCTTAAACAACCACTTTAAATGTGATCCTCCTTTGTGAAGTAGCAATTTCTGTTGGAAAAATGGGAGCTGTCTTACATTATGGAATCTCATATCACATGCACAGGTTTGTAAAACCTTATAAGGAAAAAAAAAAAGGTTTGGTTTCTTAGAGTTTACTGCAGCTGGCAAGATTGATACTCCACTGTTGTCCAGGACTAAGTGATACATGATTGCAAGGTTACAGTTTCCAGTTCACATAGGATGGTTGCTTCTTCTTAGTTTTTGCTGGAATTATTCCCATGGGAAATGAAAGACTTCCTGTGCTTACAGGAGGATTCCATAATAAAATGTCCATAACAGCAGTCTCCTTAGAACAGTTTGACTACCTCAGGCCTAGGGATTGTTTTGAGCATTCAGTACCTGGTCTGGAATATCAAAGATGCCTCATTAAAATAGCAGCTTCAAGCCTGCTGCCTGCTGCAGATGCCAGCCATGTCCTCAGTGTCATCTTTTTTCCTCCCACTGGTACCAAAGAGAGACATGTCCTAGCAGCTGGAACCAGCATTTGCGTGCAGATGTTCATGTTCCTTCAGAGTTGGTGTCAGGAGGACGTTTTGTGTGAAGCTTTGTCTTGTAACTGAATAGAGTTAAGATGTTTTGACAGAGCTCCCAAGTAATTGTCTCCTCCAAGGGTGCACGTGCAGGGAGCTTTGTCAAAGGAGAGATTTTGAAGAGTGCACTTAGACCCAAATATTACAAGGCATGTCAGTGTGTTCTGTGTTAGTGCTTTTCTGAAGCCTCAGGATCATGGCCACTGGGCAGCATCCTGGTGTGGGCTTTACATGAATCCTAAAGCCTGCGGTGACAGGAATTTTGCTCTCAAAGGAGGTTTTCGTGGCTTTCTTCTCACTGCGCTGAGCCACTGTGTTGGTTGTGATTGCATTAAACTGCAAATCTGAGCACATGTTCATATTGATCCCCTGGCTTGAGATTGTAATTATGACTTGGTTTTGTCCAGGGGACATTGAGGGAAGGGGAGAGAATTGTGGACTTTTGTGAATGGCTGAAACATACGGTTCCTCCACCAAAGGGGTGTAATTTACACAAATGGGTAACATCTGTTTCAGTGTTCCAACACATCTGAGGCTCCCTGTTATAAAGAGGGCTTTTTTTGACAAAGTAAAATAAATACCTGGATCGACTGCTCTTGCACTGGAAGATAGTACCTGTAGGAATAGAATTGTTTTGCCTCTTAGCTTTGTAACAACAAGAAACAGTTCCTCAAAAACAAGTCATGGTTTGTGCATGGATATAAATTAGTGAGTCTTCAACTGAGAATTTTAAAAATGACATAAGACTCCTTGCTTATTACCACTTCATAATTTATCCTAAATTCCTGATGCAGTCTCATTTTAAAGCTCTACTAACAGTTTCTCCCCACACTGCTGATAGAGCAAATCTAATCTGCTTCCTTGTAACTCCAGAGTTGAAAGTTTTTTGTGTGATGGCAGATCTTCAGCTAACAGCCAGCTATTTTAAAGAGCCTGGATCTTATTACTACAAAGATTAATGATGACCTCTGATAGATACCTCTAAACCAAGCTGGTTTGTATCCAGTGAACTAGGGAGAAATCCTGTCACTAACATGATACACTTTCCTCCATCAAACAATATCAGAAAGATATTTTCTCTGTAAATATCTTTATCTGTATTCTACAACAGAGCCTAAACAATGACTCTTTCAAGCTGAAATCCTTGCATTCCTTAATCTCATAAACTGTTCCGTACTGAGACAAGCCTGTTCAATATACTGGAACATGTCTATTCAGCATTTGGAGGTTTATGTCTAATTCTGTGCTACTCATAACACTCAGATCTCTTTTGTCTTTTTTTTAGCATTTGTCTCAGAAAATAGCAACAGAAGTAATTTTACTTCTGTGTGCATTTAGGACTAGGAAGGTTCCTTTCTCATATGTTTTATTAGTTTAGAATAAGAGAAATTGGCATCCTGTTCTGGATTTGAGAATAATGAAAAGCTGACACATCAAAATTCAAAATACAACTCAGAAGTTTAACTGCTTTAGAGAATTATCTGTTCTGTGTGCTTCTATATCATAGTTCTCTTTATCTGCCCACCTCCCTGAGGAAAAAAAAAAACCAAACATTTGCTTCACAGAAAACGATTAAAAATGGTGGCCTCTTGGGCAAGATGGCAAGAATGTAAGAGTTCATGCATAACTTCACTGGTTTTATCTGAGAAATATATCATCTTTGATGTGTGGAGGCAATCTGTTATTCACGTCTTCTTTCATTTCCAGCTAAAAAATAACATAAAAGTCATGTTGGTGCTGGAGCATGAAGTTGGGGCATGGATTTTCAGGGACTGGTTTTTATTTATGTATTTAAATAAAGAATAAAACAGGTGTTGTTAAACTTCATGTGCCTAAAATCAAAATCTAGACTCTGCATGTCTGTTGTATAGATATAAGCAAGTTCTTGTACAATACTTGCACATTCTTAAGCAGACGGCCACCTCACAGTAGTATTGGCATTAATTGAACTGCAAAGTGTAATTGAACCAATACCAACTCAAAAGCTTCCTTGTCTGTAAGGAAGAAAGAGTTCTTGCCCTGTGTTTTGTTGCATGCATTCATCATTGCATGAATAGTCAGGTTCTGGGTCACCCTTGTGTTCAGCAGAGATGGTCTGGAAAGGGAAAAATATGTCTGCTTTGGGAAGTAGTTTGGACTGCTCTGTCTACTTACTGTCTCTTCTGTACCTAGTTAGTACTCCTGAGTTGAGAATTACTGTGATGGTGAAAGGCTTTATCTGTGATGACTTTTATCACATTCTTTACTTCTTAAACAGTATCTTCAAGATGCAGTGGTGCTCAGTCACCGATCTATTTGCGGAAGGATGAAATTGTTTTATTTATAGGTAAACAAAGTACAACATCTTTCTGATACTCTGGTCAGAAAAAACTGTATCCTAATTTGCTTGCTCCAGGAATGAGATGATGGGATCAAAACCAGACCCAGTCTTTGCAATAATTCCTGCTTTAAACAAGATAGTTTTAGTATTCCAGAATAACTGCCATTCTGTCCTTGGAAGAACTCATTTGATTTATTAATTATAATACAAATTTCTGTTCTTTTGTAAATCATCTTAGATCTGCATCATGAAATGAATGCTGTAACGCTTCATAAGCATTAAGGAAATGTTAGCTCACACCAGATAGGGCTCCACAAGCCAAACCTGAGAACTAATAAATTGAGCCAACTTACTGCTCAACATAAGTAAAGAATTTTATTTCTGGGAAACCCAGATCTTTCTCTGTTAAGGCTTCCAGTGATATTTACCAAAGAGACTTGAGGACATTTTGTTCAGCTACCCATGGCAACCTATTGGAAACTCAGAAGTCTTTGATACCTAACTAAAGTAGATAAACTACCAATTAATCTTGTTGGGATTTTACATTAATGAGGGACTTACTTTTCTATGGACTTAAAATGTGATTTTGGAATGTTTAAAGGCACACTTAAGAACCCATAGTAGCATGTTACCTGGGACTTCTGAATGCATGGTGGAGAATCTGGAGGACTGGTTTGTGGAGCCATGATGAACCCTGGGCATCAGAAACACTAGTCTCACAGAAAATGAGCATTTCTCTAGGCACCTTCTCTTCACTAGAATTGCTGATTGGCACCATCTGAGGACGTGAGACAATCTGGCATTTTGATCTGACATGTGTTGTCAGCTATTCATTCAAAATTCTTTCTTCAGTAATTCTAGAAATCTGGGAAACTGCAAATGCTAACATGACAAAGTTCTGAGGCTGCAGTGGGGAACTTCAGGTCCTCAGAACATCAGTGAGAGCCTCATATGTTCTGGATTTGGAGACTGTGAGATCCTTGCTGTCTCAAGTTGCAGAGTGGTTCACTCCTGCTGAGCCAGGTACTTAGCTGGAGAGTTAGGAACAAAGTTGTACTTGGAGCTGGCATTATGTGGCTTTTTACCTATTTGGAGAAGTGTCATTAGGGCTGCTAACCTCAGAAGTTGTGTTGCACACCAGCTTGTCAGATGAGCAAGGAGAAGTGTTCAATGGGCCACAGAATCACTTCCCTTCTAACAAATGGACTAATTTTTTTTTTTGTGTGTTCTTCAAGAAAACTCTCAGCCTAGAATTTAAATATGAGTTAAATTTTAATCTAAAATAGCTGATGGGTAGCACAGCTGACAATGCTTTCTGTCCCAGGCATCACTTGGAGAATCTTAGTTACATAATGTATATCTTCTGGAGAAAATTTTGCAGTGTATAAACCGATGTGGACTAGTATTTAGATTTGGTCTTTCTCTGAGATTAGAAATCTATTCTGAGTTTATAAGTATTTTGTCCTCAAGATATATAAATATTTTGTTTCACATCACTGAGTATTTTCTGTAGTTTCACTTTTTTTTTCCTTTGGCAGTTACCTACATTGTAGTTGGTTCCAATAACTTAAAAACTTCTTTTGACTCTTAATAATTAGAAGTTTGCACGAGGAATGTTAGTGTACTGTTATGTCTAAATATTAAAAGTAAATCATATTTGAAATTAATCTTTAAATTTAGGTTGGAATTACAAATCCTGGAGATCAACAGAAACTCCTAGATGCTATTACTGAGCTTCAAGTGGAAGAAATAAAAATTGGAGAACTCCCAGAAGTGTTGAAAGTGGAATTGAGGTATTGACGTTATCTGAGAAAATGGAAGCAAAGTATGGGCTGTTTAAGGTGATCACATTGGTTTCTGTAGCTCAAAGGTAAAATTTTCTCACACCTCTTCCCATGCGTATCATTCATGAGAGTATGGCCAGTTAGTGGCTTGTGGAGGCTGGTAGTAGATGTATTTGGTAAAAAGAAAGTTGAAGGAGTGGATTTCTGTTTGTGTTATGTTGCCATTACTTTGGCTGTGTTTTTGAAGGAGAGTTCTTTCTTTGTACCTCACATGGCCTTGCTGTGCTGGGCCTTATCTTGTGTTCATGTCAAACTCTGAAACCGGCTTCTTGGGCTCCAGTATGAACTAATTCTTTAATTTTTCTGGTAGGCTTCAGTAAGCAGATTTTTTAAATTTATTTCTCTGTGCAAATGGGAGGGAACTTGCCCTCCTTGCTTCTCCGTGCTTCAGGAGTGTCATGGACCCTTAAAAACCCCAGATGATGTGGTCTCTGTAATTCCCCAGTGTGTCTATAGACAATGCAGGCTCTGTTAGATGTAAGAGATGTGTGAGAGGGAGAAGTGCATAAAATTTCTGGGCTTTAACTTTCAACTGAGAAATTAATTACTTCTACATGTCTATCTTAAATCACAGAATTGCAGAATGATAGGGGTTGGAAGAGACCTCTGGAGGTCATCTGGTCCAACCACCCTGCCAAAGCAGATCCAGGTAGAGCAGGTTGCACAATATCATGTCCAGGCACGTTTTTAATATCTCCAGAGAAGCAGACTCCACAACTTCTCTGAGCAGCCTGTTCCAATGCTCTGTCACCCTCAAAGGAAGGAACTTTTTCCTCATATTCAGATTAAACTTACTGTGTTCCAGTTTGTGTCCATTGCCCTTTGTCCTGTTGTTGGGAACCATCCTCTTGACCACCTGTCCATTAGATATTTGTAAGTATGGGTAAGATCCCCTCTGTCTTCTCTTCTCCAGGCTGAATAGACCCAGGTCTCTCAGCCTTTCCTCCTAAGAGTGGTGCTTCAGACCACTAATCATCTTTGTAGCCCTCTGTTGGACTCTCTCATGTAGTTCCTTGTCTCTCTTGAAATGGGGAGCCCAGAACTCAACACAGTACTCTTGATGTGGCCTGACTTGGGTAGAGCAGAGGGGGAGGAGAACCTCCCTCGACCTGCTGGTCACACCCTTCTAAACACACCCCAGGATACCATTGGCCACCTTGGCCACAGGAGCACACTGCTGGCCCATGGTTGACTAGTTGTGCATCAAGACTTCCAGGTCCTTCTCCTAGAGCTGCCTTCCAGCAGGCCATCCTGTAACCTGTGCTGGTGCATGAGGTTGTTCTGCCCCAGGTGTAGGACCCTACACGTGCCCATGTTGAACTTCATTAGATTCCTCTCTGCCCAGCTCTCCAGCCTGGCCAGGCCTTGCTGAATGACAGCACAGCCTTCTGGTGTGTCAGCCACTCCTCCCAGCTTTGTATCAAACTTGCTGAGGGTAGACTCCATCCCTTCATCTAAATCATTAACTAGTATCAGTTAATGAATATGTTGAACAAGGCTGGACCCAGCACTGACCCCTGGGGAACACCACTAGCAACAGGCCTCCAGCTGGACTCTGCACTGCTGATCCCAACCCTCTGAGCTCTGTTGTTTAGCCTGTTCTCAGTCCATCTCACAGTCCACTCATCTAACCCATACTTCTTGAGCATATCTGCAAGGATGTAATGGCAGACAGTGTCAAAAACCTTGCCAAAGTCAAGGTAGACAACGTCCACTGTTCTCCCCTCATCTACCCAGCTAGCCACATGATCCTAGAAGGCTATCAGATTGGTCAGACATGATTGCCCCTTGATTAATCCATGCTGACTACTCTGCATAACCTTCTTTTCCTTCACATGCTTAGAAATGACCTCCAGAATGAGCTGTTCCATCACCTTTCCAGGGGTGGAGGTGAGGCTGACTGGCCTGTAGTTTCTAAAATGAGCTGTTCCATCACCTTTCCGGGGTGGAGGTGAGGCTGACTGACCTGTAGTTTCTCGGGTCCTTCTTCCTGTCCTTTTTTGAAGACTGGAGTGACATTGACTTTCCTCCAGTCCTCAGGCACCTCTCCTGTTCTCCATGCCCTTTCAAAGATGATGGAGATTGGCTTAGCAATAACATCAGCCAGCTCCCTCAGCACTTGTGGATGCATCCCATAGACACCCATGGATTTGTGGGGGAGAATTCCTTCTTCCAGATTTTTTTTTTATCTCCAGGGACTGGGACTCCTGAGGGCTGGACTTAACAGTAAAGACTGAAGCAAAGAAGGCATTCAGTAACTCACCATTCTCTGTATGCTCTATCACCAGGGCACCCACCTCATTCAGCAGTAGATTCACATTTTCCATAGTCTTCCTTTCCCTGCTGATGGAGTTAGAATCATAGAATCACTATGGTTAGAAAGGACCACTAGGATCATCAAGTCCAACCTTCCTCCCAACATTTTCCTAACCACTAGACCACACCCTCAAGTGCTACATCTCCTTGTTTTTTGAACACCTCCAGGGATGGTGACTCCACCACCTTCCTGGGCAGCCTGTTCCAGTGCCTTACCACTTTCTCAGAGAAGAAATTCTTCCTCATATCCAATCAAAACCTCCCCTGGCGCAACTTGAGGCCATTTCCTCTCATCCTACTTCTTCCTTATTGTACTTGAAGAAGCCCTTCTTGTTGTGTTTGACCTCCCTTACCAGATTTCATTCCAAGTGGGCCTTAGCCTTCCTTGTTACAGTCTTGTGTACTCTGACGGTATTCCTATATTCCTCCCAAAGTGCCAGTCCCTTTTTCCACATTCTCTCCCATTTGAGTTTTTCAAGAAGCTCCTTGCACATCCATGCATGTCTCCTGCCTTCTTTGCTTGGTTTCTCACTCACGGGGATGCACTGATCTTGAGCTTAGACGAAGTGATGCTTTCTTGCCCATTCTCTGCCCCCCTTCTTCTTAGAGCCCTAACCCATGGGATTCCTCCAAGCAAGTCTTTGAAGAGGTCAGAGTTAGCCCTTCTGAAGTCCAGGGCTGCAATCACCTTTACTGACCTGCTGCTTCCACATAGGACCCTGAACTCCACCATCTTATGGTCACTGCAGCCAAGGCTGGCCCCAGCTTTCACATACCCAGCCGGAGCTTTGTTTGTTAGTACAGGGTCCAGCAGCACACCTCTCCTTGTTGGCTCTTACACCATGTGTATCAAAAAGTTACCAGTGCTCTGCAGGAACATGCTGGGCTCTGTGTGACTAGCTGTGTGGCCTTTCCAGCAAATACCAGGGTGGTTGAAGTCCCCCATGAGCACCAGGGCCCGTGATTGTGAGGCTACTTCTAGCTGCCTGTAGAAGGCCTCATTGACTCTCTCTTCCTGGTCAGGTGGCCTATAATAAATACCCACAGCAGTGTCACTCCTATTAGCCCGCCCCTTAGTTCTCACCTGTAAGCTCTTGACTCATTCTTCATGCCCCCTTAGGCAGAGCTCAGTACGTTCCAGTTGCTCTCTCACGTAAAGAGCAACTCCACTGCCTCACCTTGCTGGCCTGGCTTTCCAAAAGTTACACAGGTGTCCATGGCAGTGTTCCAGCCATGTGAGCTATCCCACCCTGTCTGTGCAACTGCAATGAGGTCATGGCCCTGCGACCACACCCAGCCCTCCAGGTCTTCCTGTTTATTCCCCGTGCTACGTGTGTTGGTGTACAGGCAGCTCAGAGATGTAACCGAGCCTGCGGGCTCCCTTGGAGGGTGCAAGAGGCACCACCATAACTATACACACCCTGGAGGTGGCTGGTCTGCTGGCTCTCATCTTGGAAGGCAACTAAGGAGCATTTGTGGTTGCTCTGGTTGGCCTGTCTTATTCCCTGTTGGATGTGAAGGCATGAGCACTGCCCTCTTGGACCCTGCCCTCTGAGCCTTTCAAATCTTAAGTGTGACTTCTGTATAGATTCAGGATTTTTTTCCTTATTTTTCTCTTCCACTGGAAGCAGTTTTAACTGGCTTCAGAAGACCTCAATTTGTTTATGTTAAAAATGAAGAACTTCAGAAGATATTTTCCTTTTCATAGATTACATGTATCAGTAGAAATAGATTTATAAGGGAACTTTTTTTAAGAAAGTGGTACTCCTTCACACTTACATTCCAACATGGTATTTCTTCCATTATAGGTTGTTTCTTACAGCCTTAAGCATCAGCTCTGCAATACCTCTTATACTTGTATAGTCTCTTGGGTATTTCTTCCCTCTCCAAAATACTGGGGAGAGCTGTCTGGATCCTTTGGATACCATAAGGCTAGACTCTTGGCTAGTTGTGTCGTTCATTGGGCTGCAGAATGTGTTTGGGTTCAACTTCATTCTGCAGTGTCGCCATCCCTCGGAAGCAGCTGCATCGCACCGACACCGCGTGTCGGCCGTCAGGCCGTGCTGCCGTCCTGCCAGGGCGCCCTTCTGTGCCAGGGCGCCCTTCTGTGCCAGGGCGCCCTTCTGTGCCACGGTGCCCTTCTGTGCCAGGGCGCCCTTCTGTGCCAGGGTGCCCTTCTGTGCCAGGGTGCCCTTCTGTGCCACGGTGCCCTTCTGTGCCAGGGCGCCCTTCTGTGCCAGGGCTGCACGAGTCTCTCGTCGTGCTCTGCTCCCATCTCGTCATCCCTGCGGGCACCGATCGCCGCTGGTGCGGGCGCTGGGCCTCTGTCCATTACTGTGCCTTCACAGAGCAAACTTTGCAGCCTGCTTGAGGTGCGTTTGTGCAGCATGATGCTAAGTTGAAGCTGCAGGATGTGGGAGGACATGCAGGAAATTTGGGGAAGCTCTTAAATGACTGAGGTGGTTTGAGAGAGCAGGGTGTTCATGTCTTAACACAGGATCTAGGTGCTGCTTCTAGTCTGTGAAATTTCTCCATCAAAACAAGTGTGTACTTTCAGAAGAGAATGCAGGTGCAAACTCGTATGTGTGCTGTGAGACTGAGGAGCTACAGTTCCCCTGTGCAGGAGGAGACATACGTGTGATGTGGGCACACTGTAAACACTCCATCAGCCCCTGAGCCACTCCTGTTAGGACAGAGGCTTTGCTGCTTAGCTGAGGTAGTAGGCCAGGCCTCTGGGTGTCTAGTTATCCAAGTTAGGCACCTGTAGGAAAGGATGTTGAGTCTTCAGCACAGAATAATTAGCTGCAGTTTGAGGACTTTGCCCAGTTTGAGCCTCAAGGATTTTTATGCTAGAAACATGTGCTTTTTTCAGTTTAAAATTTTCAACAGAGGGAATAAGTGAAGATATCCAAAAAGTTAGCAGTTAACTCCACTTGTGGCCCAATACAATAAAAACCCCACACAATGTCTGGTACGGTCTCACACACCAGTGACGTGCCTAATCCCTAGTACAGTATGGGTTCAGATCATACTTAGTTCTCAAAAACAGAAAATAATTGATTAAAAATGGAAATGCACAAAATATGATCGTGTTTCAGTTATGGCAAGCACTGCATACTTTTCTAGAAAATAGCTTGACATGTATTTTAGGAATCTGACCTTGAGACTAAAATCATAGGCTATGTTTACATGCTGGTATATAAAGATTTTACTTCCCACTTGCTCAAAGTCATTCTGGGAGAAGGAAAATCAGTCATCAAGTCATAGAAAAACTAACATAGTAGAAAATGTTGAACTGATTGATTATAAACTCACAGAGTGTCTAGCACTATTTAGCCACTGGTGTTTTGACAGCCATTAATTCTTTTTTAGAAAGTGATTATTTTTTTGAAAACATTATTTCCATTTACAAATACAAGAAGCTTATCACTGCAACAGATAAAAAATTCTATTAAAATATTTTTAAGAACTATTATTGATATAATAAGTATGAGAAGTATGAAAGTTTTCTTTTTTTTTTCTCCTAATTTCATGCCTGTGTCATACTTTATTTTTGCCGAGAATCCTTCCAGAATTCATAAAAATAATTTCCTTTGTGATAAAAGACAGAAAGTGGCATAACTGATCCTAGCCAGCTAAAAAGTTACCTAAGTAGAAGGAAATTTTCATGAGCGTGCCTTGACGATAGTAACGTGAGAGAAACTTTCAGACTGTCTCCAGATGTGATTATTTTGTTTAATGTTTGGGTTTTTTACCCTAAATACTCAGTTCAGTTATTTTGTTCTAAAATAAATAGTAACTTATTTTATAATAACAAACTAATAGGATTTCTTAATTCCCCATCTTCATATAAACCATGCACAGTCTTGGTTTTAACCTCCAGCATTCCTACTGATGCTTTTATGTATTTCTGGTTAAGTATTAAAGTCTTAAGAGTTCAGCAGTGTTGCAGGTCACAGATGTCCTGAGCAAGGGTGAAAGCTTTGCTAGTCATTATCTTCTAGGAAAGAAAACACTCTATGGGCTAAATTCAGTCTCTTTTTAGATACTTGCACCATGCTGGCATCTAGCTTGGTTTAGCTGTTTGGCAAATTTCATGTGTGTCTTTTTGCCATCAGAAGCAGCAGCAGGTTAGGTGGTGCGAGTCTGTTGGGTTTAGGGTGAGCAGCAGGTTGCCCTAGGGAAGACAAGAGGAGCACTGGGACGTGAATTAATTTGTTCATATCCTTCCCTAAGTATAGCGGGCAGTCCTGCAGTAGGAGTTTGAAACTGTCCCTTGTGTTCAGCCTGCTTGTTACTCAGGTGAACGGCTGGTGGCTGGGGAAGCCTTTCTCTGGAGATACAGGCACTTCTCAGGAGTTGCAGGGTTTGAGACCCCACGCGGTAAGAACAAATGGATCATCTTCTTCTTGCTCTCTCTTCCTCTGCCTGGTCAAAGGCAACGACTTTCTGGCCAGCACCCTGACTTGAAACTGACACACTCTGAGGCTTCCAGTAAAGCCAGCTGAGTCAGTGTCACACGGAGCTAGACACTGAGCACTGCAATTACTCTCTTCAAGTTTTCTGTCCTTTTCTCCCTTCTTTAGAGATACTGATCAGACTAATTTTCAGACTTGTCTTCCTGCTTGTCTTTGAGCATTAAGTATAAATTTCCTTCAGTTAGATAAGATCAGATATTTTAGGCTTTGAGGAATGTATTTCCGAGTCCAGGGGCCAAGTCAGTATTACGGGATTCTTTTTTATTTCCACTGTGCTGGAGAGTGAATGACTCAAACTTAGTCATTGCAGTCCTAGCTCCAAAGTACAAACTAGAGCGGTGCTGGTTTTTTTTCCCCTACAACTTCCTCAAAAATGAAAGCTGCCGATCAGGAATGTTGATGTGTCAGCATCAGACTGACTGTACATTCTCTATTTCTGGTGTTGCAGGACTGTGATCTGTATGCACACACGGGGGCAAAGAGCCTTGCAGTTAGTATGCCTGGTGTGTTACAAAATTACTCATGCTGCAGGCCATGAGGTGTTTTCATTGACAATGCAGGATTGATGAGAGTTAGAAATGGAAATGGAGGTTAATAGAATCGTTCCCAAAAGTTTTTGGGTGATGCTTTTTCAGCTTTCAGCATGTTTTAACTAGCTGAATATTCCAGGTAACTTAATGATTTGCTATCTTTCCAAAGGGGGTGGGGGGGAAGGAGAAACACCAAAAATAACCCCCAAACCCAACTTGCTAAGATGTTAAATGTAGTGTTTAACTACCCTGTGTTAAAATGACACTGGATTTTTTTTTATTATTATTCTTAAATGAAACTGCATGTCTTGATTCACTCACTAGGCAATGTTGCAAATACATAGGTAAATACTTAGCTGGCAAAAAGTTACAGCCTTTAACAAATAATGGAATATTTTCTATTTTTGTAGTGGGGATGAATTCCTCAGGTTTCTTCAGAAGTTGAACAAAGAGTGTAGGAAGCTGACCATTCCTGTGCAGACCATGAATAAGCATTTCCTGCAAACTTCTCACAAGGTATTCAAGCAAAGAAAAAACACTTAGAGTATATTATTGTATTCTAGACTATTATTTTACTTTGCAAAATGAAAAATAAGAACACTTGTCAGCTGTCCTGATTATTATATTTATATAAGGCTGTCCAGTGTTCCTTCTCTAAAGGACACTGTTTTAATAATTTATTTCAAAAGTTAAGCCACCCTGTGTTAGGAGATAGATCCCTTCATATTTCTGCTTACAGGGGAGTTAAGATGGCCAACAGTTCCCACAAAGGCTGATAAAATAGTAGATGATGTTGTGCATAAATCATAAAATGAAAACCCAGCATAAATACAGTTACAAACTTTGTCTGGCAGTGCATCTTAGGATGTGTTAACTAAACAATATTAAATGGTAATCTACAGTACTCCTGGCAAATAACTGTAACTGTTAACAGATAGTCCTGCAGTGGGCACCAACTGAAAGTTTTATTGAAGTCTGCAAAGACTTGGCTTGCAGTGCTGAAAAGCTGGGAGAAGAAGTTGCCAAACTGAAGGACCTGGTGGAGAAGGTGAGTATGTGCAAGACAAATGAGGTGTCCATCAGTGAAATGTTTCATACCTTGCTCTTCCACAGGCTCTTCAGCTGTAGCTTGGACCTTGCAGTCCTTCCCCCTTCCACCTTCCCGTGGACAGAGTGGGAAATAATCTAGACTATTCCATAGCAGCGTGGATAGCCTCCAAAGGCAGGCATAATCTTTTTCTTTCTACTGCAGGAAACAATTAAGTGGAATGTATCCCTGTGCTCTTGGACAACCACTGTGGCATAAATGCCACTCTGAATACTTGACACTCTTACTTCTTAATTGAGAAATCTTCTGTTTGGAATTATCGACTCACAAAGAAGATACTAAGGTTTTATGGATTGTATGGGAGGCATCCCAGATAACTACAGTGACAAAAGAAGAGGGTGGGAGAGGTCAAGGCTACATGTTAGCACCATATCAGTCATTCTCAAACCAACACAATGACATGCTCTTGTCAGATGGGGTCATTTTAAGTAATAGGCTAGTAAAAGAAATGGGATAGAGTAAATGGAGCATCAGTGTCAGAAAGGAATCTGTTGCTGAATGAAGCCATGTGGAACTCGGACCTTGAGTATAATGCTACTAATGCCATTTCCTGTAGTTTAAGTAAATTTCATGTAATATAACAGCCTTCTCCCAATAAATCACTTAACACCAAATATTTAAGTGGTAGATAGGTGCTGTGGCAAAAACGTTTTTGCTGTTTGTGTTCCATTTTTTCAGAAATCAATTGTGTGTGTGTGTGTATATATACACACTTTTGCCTCCTGTATCTGCAGGCTAATTATAAGGGCTGGGAGGTGGATCTGAGTTAGGTGCCACTTGATTTTGCTTTCATCTGTACTTAAGATTTTATGATAGTCAAGATGAAGCACAGTGGCTCTGTACCCAGTGTTAAACGGAGGTGTTATTAAACAGTAGCCTTTTAATTACTTGGAAAATGTAATTCCTGTTCTATTAAATTACTGCAGTGTTTTATGAATTCCACTGATGAAGGCTTTAATACAGAACATTGTTGTGCTGCTGAATTTATGATGGAGCGGTTTGAATGAGTAGACAACTGAAATATTTATGAGGAAAAGTGCCAATTTAAGTGAAACACTTAATCCTCTTGAATAACAAGTTTGTATAAATTCCCTTAAAATCCTCAGTACTGTTTGCTTAGTCATTAGAAGACATTGCCAGCAGTACATGTTATGTCTGTAGCACATAATTTTTGAAGGCACGGTAAATGAGGTGGCCTTCCAAGTGTTCTAAGCTAAGGCAGGGAGTCAGAACCTAACTGCTGCACTGCATGACAAGGCTCCACTCAGCTTCAACATGTGTTTGAGCAGGCACTTGCATGGTGCTTGCCACTCCCTTTAATTTCAAGTCTAACCCGTTACTTATTTAACTTGCTTTTGTAATAAACCATTGTATTAGTAATAAAATAGCAAAAGTTTTAGTTAAAATATGATTTGAGTTCAAATGTTTTGTTAGATTTTCTTGTGTCATCTATTAGCAGTGTGTTTTACTCCTGAGAAATTAAGTTTGTGAACAAACAGTTTATTTTTCCAATATATGTTACTGAATGACTGAGCATCAGGTAAGATAAAGCTCACACATGTTTATTTCAGTTGAAGTAGGGCAGAGGAAGTGAGAAATAATACCAGTCCTAGATGCATGCAGATTCTTAGGAGTGGGTACATTTATCACATACTTAAGAAGCTTTCACACTAACTTTGTTCCTTTACTGCATTTTTTTATGTGAACTTAACATTTGCCTCAGGATAAGCAGAGGAGTGACCCCAGCCGAGTGAAATTTCCAGAAAAAGCACCCGCCTTGGAAGGAAAATTAGTGAAAATGGGAGTGGTAACATTGCTGGGATTTGTTTTTTTCTCCTTGGTAATCAAGTTAGTGGTAAAGAAAACCTGAATTTTAAGTTTAATGCTGTGAATACTTTTGGAAAATTTGGTCACATTATGCTTGTGTCCACTGCATGCAGCTGAGCTGAAGTCATGTAAAAATTTGTGTAGTTTCTCATCATATATGCAGTATTTGCATCCTCTAAGTGCTTTGATCTAGAAACAAAGTTTAAAAGGTAGAACTGCTACTTACATGTATCTTAAGGGTTTTTTTTCATAATTATTTTTGATGTAGATTGTAGGTCTAAAATCTTGTCAAAGCTGCTTTTTTTTTTTGTCGTAAAGCTGTAATTATTAATTACTAGTGTCATTTTTGCCCTTAGCTGTTGTTCAGGACATAAGAAAATAATTCTGATTATATCACATTTGTATTTAAGATTATGATGCAGATGTGTTCTGGGAGTTGGGAGATTTTAGAATATTCTGAGTATCTTGTGCATTTTTATGTTGATGAAGGTCAACATTTTTGTGTTGATAAACTCTTGCAGTTTTTCAGAGTAATCTATTGTGAAAAACTTCCCAGTGAGGTGTGCTTTTTTTTTTTTTTTTCCTTTGTCACAGTTACGGGACTGGAGATCTTGTTACACTTTGCCTAAAAAGTCATTTCCCACTGAACTGTGATGCTGGAGTTATGCCTGAAGTTGGTTTCCTTTGGGATACTTACTTCAGTTAAGAGTTTCATCTTATTGGTTAAGAGTGTTATAGAAATCCTTTGCTATAAGCATGCAGGCAACTTAGAAGGCATAGCACCATGGGGTTTTTTTCTTGGTCTTTCACTACAACAGGTTCATGACTAGAGTAATTTCTTCTTGATATTTTCTCTACTTAAATAGCTGTTTGTAATTCTGCAGTGAAACATTAATACCTGGTTTCATCTGGTTACCAAGCCACCTATGTTGGAAAAAAAAAAAAGGAATTGGCGTTAATTCAGATCAGTTATGGTTTTGTAGCCTTCAATAGACATCTTTAAAAGTGCTGAATATTTCATAAGAGACATTCTTCTATCAAAATAAAACAAAAGGAAGCAAACCTCAGTGGGTGTGTCATGCTTTAGCTCTCTCTCATTTTCAGAGATGTTGTGTGGAGTTTTAATCTTTGATGTTCTCTCCAGAGAACAGCAAGAAGCAGATAAAAACTTGACTGGTACTCCAGTTGCTGTCACAGTTGTTCTCTGCTTTTTGTTTTAGAAAACTAGGTTGGGTGTTGGTATGTTTCCTTGTTAGTGCAGTTGTTTTCCCCTCCTTTCCTCCCAGATTTCTCCTTCAATACCAGGAGCATCCTGCAGAGCGACGAGGCCAGAGGCAAATACAACATCAGTTGGGTTTTTTCCATTCTGTCCCCAGCTGTGGGTCAGAGGGGACAAATTGTGTTCCCACCCACCACCATCTGCCAGCAGAAGCAAAGCGTGCATACTACCAGTGTACTGGCTTGAAACAACAAAGTATAGAAAAAGAAATACTTGAAAAATAATTCTCCCTTTCTTCATATTACTTTGTAATTAATCTTAAACTAACAAGCTGTGCGTCACAAAAGGAGGATCTATAAAGTGTTGTTGCAACTGCTTGTCATGAACATGGAGCCTTATGTAGGCACAGCACTTCTCCTCTGAGAAGCTCAAATACAGTTCACATGCAGTTGCCCCATAATGGGCTGGCTCACAAGGAATACTAGAACATTGACACCTAACATCTTTTGGGTTTTTCTGTAGGGTGAACATATTTGGTTTATTTTTTGTTTGTTTTGAAGGTGGAGGGGGACTAAGCAGACATTATATTCAGGCTGTGTTTTCAACATGTACTTTCACTTTAGTTAAGTTTAATTATTTCAACCACTACTAAGATTTCTGTGATACTGCACTTGGAAGGATGCTGTTACTTTGCCTCACTCTTCCTTCCTTCTCCACTTCAGTGAGAATTTGCGTTGACAAAGCCACTGCAAAGGCCACTGAACGTAGCTTCCATGTCAGGAGATGCATTTGCCTACCACCAGTAGACCCTGTCATTTGAGACAAAAATGTAAATTATTTTTCTCTATGAATTTGGAGAAAATACATGCTTATGTGGAGGCCTGTTAAGCTAACCTTGGAGGCCTTGCAGCTGAATAGGAAATCTACTCCAGAAAAGCTATATCAACATTTAAGTAAACTGTAGGCATGACAATTTGAATGACACCATCAGTGTAAAATACCTGTGAGGGAAAAAATAATGTGTGATGGCTGGCTGGTAATTTTTTTCCAGTTTCAGAGTTACAATAAAATATCCTTTACAGAAACAAGTCAGAGGTTACAGTCAGGATTGCAAATGCACACGTGAACAGTGTTTGGGTTAAACTCTAGGCTTTTGGCCAAGCAGAATAGTGTTCAAAAAGGTATAAACTGTGCTTGAGTAGAAAGGTCTTGGAGCAGCCATTTTGAGCTGTCTCATTAATTTTATCTCAGTATTGCATGAGTAGGATATGTTAAGAGCCAAACAAGGATTTATTTTAGGCTACCATATCATAAAATCTGCGTGTTCCTGTTCAGATTCCAAACGCAGGCTTAAACAATGAATTTCAAGGTCCTTTATTCACTTTCATGTTGTTCCAGTGCCTCTTTCAAATTCTCTGTTTGAGAAGGTATCACAATATGGTTGTGATAGGGCAGGAAGCGAAGAAAGAGATTCCTTCAGCATCTTGCCCCTGAGCAACACTGCCAAAATTCTGGCCCCCACCAGCACTCGGTCAGGGAGCCTTCAGATGAAAATGTCCCTGCTGAGAGGCCTCCTTCCATAAGCCATCAAATTAAAGTCATTATCCCAGAACAGTGAGGATACAATGATTTGCATATCTATGAGGGGATTGGAGGAGAATGCTAAAGAGCTTTGCATACATTAAGCAGGTAAGCCTCCAGCCCTGGGAGGTATTGTTCTCCTCTGACAGTAGTGCAAATCCAGATGTGGGAGGGTTGAGTGGGTGCACCCGGGGCCAAATCCTGCAGATAGCCGCTTACAGATACGGTGAGGTTCCTACTTGCAGTACCATTGGATACCTAACTTCTCTTGATGTGGTTGAATATTCATGAAATAGCCTTTTCTGAATCTTTAGACTGTTATGTAAAATTAGGGCCTTAGGTGATCCCCTGGAGATCTGGGAGAACCTAGAGAATTTTTGTTTCTAATTTGTCCTGTCTAAGATAAACGGCAGGTTGTGTGTGTTGTGTCTCTTCGTGTGCTTTGGGATTTGCTGTGTTCTTTAAAAAATTTGATTTCTGGAGTAACTGGCCTGTCATAAGGTGTGGCCAAATAATTCCTGTAGGGTACCAGTAGCAAATAGTAGATGGTCATTTTGGGTATGTGCATTCTGAAAGGGAGAGACTGACCTTTTCCACTACATTCTCCACTGACTTAGAGACGTACTGTGTTCATTTTTTCTTCTTTGACTTCATCCAGCTGCCTTGCTGGGGACAAGATTTAAGCCTGAGCTGTGAAGTTTATTCCTCTTCCCCTTGCCATCTCTGAACATCCCTCAGGTGCTTCCCGAAGCTGCAACTTGCTCCCAGGTGTGAGGAGGTGTTTGCTTGCATTTGCCTTCTCTGTTCCAGCAGTTCTGCAAAAGTTACAGGTCATCCTTTCCAAATAAAGCTTCTTGTTACTAGCAACTCACTACAGATGTTGCTTTGGGCCTTACGAGGTGGAAGATTTTGAGTCTTCAGCCTTGTTTAAGAGACTAAACAAGTCTCTTTTGGAATAAACTGAATAAGTCCACCTTACCCTCTGTCATGAAAGGGCAACCAAGTGATCCATAGCTTGTCCATGTTAGCTGCCTGCTTCCTCGGGGTGTTATTCATACACCTTCCTGTGTGGATAAAAAGCCTTGAAGGTCCAGCAGGTATTGTAGCTGCAGATGTCTGCTTCAAAAGACTTCTAAAGCCACTTCCTGGTTCTGGAGGTATGAAGGAAATGTCTATTTGGAAATTTCTATTCTAGAAACAGGAATTTCCAGGTAATGGGGCTGTGGAGCTTACTGACCAGAAACAGCAAGCAGAGAGGTATGAAATGTGTTGTTACTGGCATTAAATGAACAATGTCATACGTGTCCTTCCCAGCTTTAGTAGCTCTTAAGTGACTTTTTGGTTTTATCCTGATTCAGAGGCTGCAGTCTCATGTAACATATACGGCCATAGTCCATGGAGGTGGGAGTTACCTCTGGGAAGATTTTTCAGTTCTTTTTCTGTTAAGCTGTGCTACTGACTGTCATATATATATGCAAGATGCTTTCTACTTAAGGGTTTGGTGGAGTTTTTCCTTCTTTATTCTTCTCCACTGAGCCTTCCATGCCTTCAGCTTTCCTGACCGCGGTATTTTAAGACAGAAATGCAGGTTTAAACACGCTATTTTTACTACTGCATTGAAAAACCTCAGCTCAATTTGATAAGGTATGTATTCAAAGAATTGGGCTCTCAGTGTTCCTGGCTGCTCTGCTGTCACCTGTATTGCACGTGGCACAATTTCTTGACTGGATGAGGAACTGTGTGTGCATCATACTCTTGTTGAAGGCACATGCAGCTTTGTAAGTCCAGTCTGCGCTTGGAGCGAGGGAGGCCCACAGTCTCTCCAGGGCTGCATCAGGAACAGCATCACATCAACTGCAGGTCGAGGGTGTCATCCTTCTCCCCTCAGTGCTGGGGAGGCCACAGCTGGCTCACTGGGTCCAGTCCTTGGCTCCCTAGTACAAGAGGGACACAGATGGACTGGAGTAAGTCCAGTGAAGAACCATGAAGACGCTGAAGGGCTTGGATGGTGTGAGCCACATTGGAGAGGGTGAGAGAGCTGGGTTTGTTCAGCCTGGAGAAGAGAAGGCTCTGGGGCATCTTATCCATATGTATCAATACCTGGAGGAGGAATGAAGATGGAGCCAGGAGCTTTCTCAGTGGCGTCCAGGGGCAGGCCAGAAGGAAATGGACACAAACTGAAAACCCATTTGAACAAAAAGGGGAAAAAAAATATTAATCCTGGGTCAAGACACTAGAGCAGG